CCCCATTCCTGCTCTGGGAACAATCTACCCACCCTCCCAAGCTCTACTGTCCAGGGGCGGGTGGAGCCCCGCCAATGCCAGGAGGACAGACAGAGCTTGCCTCTCTCCTTCATGGTGGTCCCATACTCCATCCTCCCCTAAGAGCATGCAGCCACAGCCACCAAAAGAGGGAGGAAGCATATTTACCCCAGCAGGGCTCAGGGGAAATGTGGCCAGGTACATGGGAAAATTTTGGTTAACTGCGAATAACCGCAGTTAACTGAACTTTTGTGTGGCTTTCATTCAGCTCCAGGCTAACAGTACAGCCCTCTCCAGGGAAGATTGGCTGCCCAGCCCCTCACACAGGGGGCTAGGACTGGGTCAGCAGGGTTTGGCAGAGCCAGCTGGGCTTGGCTCAGGGGCTCCCTGCAACACAGCCTTCTCCCACCCCCCACCCATAGCAGGAATAGAGCCCAGGCATCCTGGCTGCTACCCACACCTCTGCTTGCCAGCCCTCTAGCACAAACACAGCAAAATGCGGCCCATGGGCCAGATGCAGCCCACGAGGCCACTCTATCCAGCTCGCGGGGCCCCTAAAAACCTTAGAATATTAATATTCATCTGCCCCAGGTTTCCTGTCATGTGGCCCTTGATGGCTTGCCAAAATTCTGTAAATGGCCCTCCACCTGAAAATAATTGCCCGCCCCTGATCTAGCAGCAAGTCAGAGCTGTGCAGGTCATAGACCGTATTAACCCATAAAGTGCAGCTGTTCAGAGCACATCCAAACTTTAATACCGCCTAACATTCTGTAGTTTTAGCAAATACAAATTGTAATAGGTAACAAACAACATGTTAAGTCACAAATAGAGTTGTTGGAATGACAGAAAATGTTCCCACAAAAATCAAAATATTTTTTCTAGAAAAATTCAAAGTCCATCAGGAAAATCTAAACAAAAGCTCTCAGAGTGGCTCTGCATCAATTCAAATCATCAGTTCATACAGCAGTTATATTTTTTAAAACATGAAATGTAAAAATTATACAAAAGTTCCTTCTTTACTTTTCATTCTATCCAGGAAGAGCACATACCAACTGCTGAAACTTCCTCAGCCTGACGAAGGGTTTTTGAACCCGAAAGCTTGCTTAATAATTGTTTTCCAACTATTTAAGTTGGTCTAATAAAAGATAACAGATTCACACAAAGAACTTTGTCTGCCTATGTCCTTAGACCAACACGGCTACAACCTATACCCCTACAAAATTCCTGGCATTTCAGTCATTCGTAAGTGGATTTTTCAAGTCATTTTACAGATCAGGTAGCAAAGGCACAAGAAAAATTGAGGCTTAGTTTCCAAGCATTCACTAATTTTGAATGCCTTCATTTTGGGGGCCCAGATGTTTCAACATTAACTCAGTCCCTTTTGAAAACTGCGGCTTAAGTACCCTGCTGAGGGTCACACAGGAAGCAAGCACAAGAAAGGCGATTCAAATTCAAGTGTCCCAATTCCCCATTTAACTGCTGTGTTTTTACCCATTAAGTTTTGTTGAGTGTCCTGTCCCACAGCACTCAGATGACTAAAAATAACCTTTTCTCTCCTTGAGGGAATTCATTATGAGAACATTCTCTCCTTAAAAAGTATGTAAACAAACTAATATACTACTAAGATGCAATAAATACTATGGCCCTGATACCACAAGCTAACCCCAGAACAGGATACCCAGCTCCAGTGAGATAAATTTAGCTCCCAGAAGGAGAATTGGTATGCATGCATTAGCTGGATGGATTAAGATATAATTCTGAAAACTGACCAAAATTAATACAAGCCTTCAGTGCAAGTTATACTTTACAATGCTCAGCTTTGCTTCATGGTTCTTTTAGCATAAGAGATGCACCACACATTTAAACATAACTAGCTCTTTTAAGTGAAAAGGGCATGCAAAAAACCTGATGTTAAACTGCTTTTTGTCCAAACCTAACACCTTCATTTTCTCTCAGCTCTAAAAATCACTTATTTTTGCAAGTAATTAGTTAATAACAGTGCTAAAAACTTTGCATTTGGGGCATTCGAAGGGTTAGTTTTATTTACATGGGAAGACCTTTATGATAGCAGCAACTTTTAATCAAAATCATTCTACAAATGTTAGATATGCTGAATTGTGAATCACAGACTGAAATAATCCAATAGAAAAACTACAATGTGGAGGAATTGAAATAAGGAACCTCAAAACAATTATACAATGTAACAAGTATAATTTCTTTCTGGCTAAAAAGTTGCTGCTTCTACCTGTCATTAATACAACACTAAAAATACTAGACCAAATGCTGAAATCTTCTCTCAGACACAATTCCAATTAAAACTAAGGAAAGTTTTGCCAAAATTAACAGAGGACTAGATTCAAAATATTAGGACTGTCACAAGTTATTGTGGCACCTCAAAATTACAGTTACCAGTATATCATATGAATAAATGCATGCATTAAGAAGCTCCCAAATGGCATTAGCACCACTTTGGCAGCCACTGAGTTTAATTCTCATTTATGGAGTACAAATCATTATGTCTTTTTTATTCACATGCTACCTTCTATACCCAAAGGGCTGAATTACAAACACCAAGTATACAGAAATAAAATTAAAAGCCTGTTTAAGAGCTTCAGAGGCAAAGAAGATTCAAAGTTAAGGATCAAATAAAACATCTTCCATGACTCTTGCTACTATGCCAAGGTATTTCCAGGGTCTCCATACATTATATGGCACCGCAGGTGGCATCACATATGTTACAATATGCAAATAGTTTGGTCGGAATGGTATTGTAGCCATGATGGTCCAGGAAATAGTCAAGAACAGCTTTTTGGTGGTATCTTCTATTGGACCAACAGTTCCCCAGGCCTGAAGAAGGGCACTTCATGCACAGCGTGACAATATGTCCCAGTTTAGCCAAGACAGTTCCCAGTTTTGGAGGTCAGCTGGTAAGAATTAAAATGAGCATCCCAGAAATGCAGGGGAAGCACAGAGTGCAGTCCAGCAGGGAGATGGAGCAGCACAGAGTGGCATAGCATAGCATGTAGGCACCACTGCCTGCCTGCCCAGTGCACCACACCACCCAGCCCCTATTATATCTGTGTGCAGCAGCACCACTGACTTGCAGGGGGCAGGTAGCGTCCTGGATGTCCCATATTTCCTTATGGTCCACCCATTTGTGCCTGAAAACTGGTTTAACATATCCCCCAACTAGACAGTTTGGCCAATAAAAGGTATCACAATATGTGAGGGCACAGAGCAAGGCGGGCAAGTCTAGAGTCACACAATCACATGAAAGTAGGGCTGGGAGGGACCTCACAAGGCCATCTAGTCTAGCCCCCTGCTCAGGGCAGGATGAACTCTGACTAAAACCATCCTGCCAAGTCTCTGTCTAATCTGCTCTTGACAATTTTCAAGGATGGGCAGTCCACCACTTCTCTAGGTAGCCTGTTCCAATGTTTCACCACCCTTAGAGTCAGAAAGTGCCCCCTGATCTCCCACCTAAATTTCCTCTGCTGCAGTTTGAGACCATTGCTTCTAGTCCTGTCCCTTAGGGCCACAGAGAAAAGCCTACCTCCAACCCTTCTGTAACTGTCCTTCAGGTATTTGAAGACTGATCTCAAATCCCCCCTCAGTCTTCTCTTCTCTTCTCCACACTAAGGAACCTGAGTTTGTTTTCACTGTGAACAGTCTTACACTTGTGACTTTAAAAAAAGGGAAGAAATGCTCCCCCCATCCCTTACCCTCCCCACCAGACCTTTAATCCCTGGCTTTTCTGGAGGCCACACTCTGCAGTGACATGCCACAAAGTGCCATGGCACCCTGGACACACCACGTGCCTGGCTGTCACGGAGGCCTTCCCAGAACGGCACTTTGGAGGGTGGGGGGGACATTCATCATAGGCACCTCCCTTCAGGCAGCTGCAGTGGTTGGCATGCTGCTTTTGCTGCCTTTTCCTGCTGGCTTAGGGCAGGGAAGCACTCTGTGCTGCTTTCCTATGTTCAGCAGCACTTCCAAGGCTGTAATCCCCTCCCCCCCACAGATCCATGGACACAGGCACACACACACAGACACATACAGGCACAGGTGCACACAGCACAGGCACAGACCCACACACACACTCATCCACCCAGACACAGACCCACACAAACACAAGACCCCAGACCCACAGACCCTCCCCACACACACACACACACCAAACCCCTGCAGCAGCAACAGTGGGGCCAGGACTGCTCTGCAGGGCTACCCACTGCACTCCACACAGCACAGGCACAGACCACCCCATACCCCCACACACAGACCTACAGACCCACACATTGCATGATTCACCCACACATGACCCAGACCCCCACACAACACACACACAGACCCACACATGACCCACATACACCACACCACACACTCCCAACACGACACAGACCCACACACACAGACCCACACACACACACATGCGCACGACACGACACACAGACCCACATCCAGACCCCCCCCCCCAGACACCACCCAGACCCACAGAGCCACCCACCTCCTCAGCACCCCATGGAGCCACCGCAGGGGGCCGGGCCGCCCTCCCCGCTGGGCCCCGTGGGGGGGATGCAATGCAGGCAGGCGGGGGCGGGGAAGAGCTGCCCTGCGAACTCCGCCGTCCCCCCCCCTCGCTCTTACCTAGCAACTCTCTGGGCACGTCCGAGGCGTCCTCGCTCATGGTGGCCCTGGGCGGCGGCGGCGGCAGCAGCGGCGGGTGCGGCGGAGCCGGGGCCACTGGGCGCTTCCCCTGCACGCAGGAGACACACGCAAAAAAAATAAATAAATAATAATAAAAAAAATGAATCAATGAGTGAGTGAGTAAGTGAGTGAGTGCCGGGGCCGCGCGATG